GCTGTTAACCGCTCCTTAAACACAACTTGACAAGTCAACCTTAGTTTTCACAAGCAAGCGCCTACGTCTCTTCTCCTTATACCGTACATAAGAATCTCGTAATCGGATTTGTGGAAACGAATTAAACTACCATTCCGTTTCCGTTTCAATTCAAGGCAAATACGCCGCACCTCGCTTTCTTCACCAATAAACCTATAGGTAATTGCAGAGCATAGGTATAGTGAAGTTCCCTATACGTCTGTTTTTGTAACAAAAAGTAAGCAATTATTTTTTTGTAAAAACTACTAGGTGTTAAGATTTGTTTACACTATTCAGTAGTCGATAGTTAAGACATAATTATTATCTGTAAAACACATGGATTTTATCCGTATTTTTCATTATTAATAACGGGATGAGAGGGGAGATAACCCATCACGTCATGCACTTTACCACATTATTTTGGTCTAACCAAAGACATATATATAATCCAGTCCATTATGGGATATAGTCCAATCCCTTACAGACATACAGGTATTTTTGGTAAAAAATATATATTTCAACATAAAGGGTGAAAAAAAGGGATTTATAAACATGTACAGGTAAATGAATGAAGTTTTTATAACGTACATTGTGTCAAAGTTTCGCTTTGTATCTAATTATAATTATCAATTGTTCATATAATGCATACTGAACTGAAATCAATAGCTTAATATTATCACCAGATATAGTCTGATCCTTGTATTAACATCCTATTTCCTGTTGCTGTTAAGTACATGTTTAAACCAGATTAAACAAGAGTTCCATGGGCAGAGCACTGTACATGAAAGCAATATTTTAAGAGGGAAAAGCACCCAATGTACCGTAATGTAATTTAAATGATGTTATACACCATTCAATACAGAAGAAACATTAGCATTTTATATTGTGAATTGGTGGTTCCAATAGTATTTTTGTAATTATTCAAAAAGAAAATCCTGTTTCCATCTGCCCAATGGAGGAAACTATATACAGTATAAAGGCGAATACTCAGCTGTAAATGAGTACGTGGTTGGGAAGTGTTAGAATTGTAGAATGCCAGATGTAAATGAGTATGTGGCTGAGTAGCGCTAGAATTGTAGAATGCCAGTTGTAAATGAGTACGTGGTTGGGTAATGCTAGAATTGTAGAATTCCAGCTTTAAATGAGTACGTGGTTGGGAAGTGTTGGAATTGTAGAATGCCAGATGTAAATGAGTATGTGGCTGAGAAGTGCTAGAATTGTAGAAGGCCAGCTGTGAGTTAGTATGTGGTTGGGTAGTGCTTGAATTGTAGAATACCAGCTGTAAATGAGTACGTGGCTGAGGAGTGCTAGAATTGTAGATTGCCAGCTGTAAATGAGTACGTGGCTGAGTGGTGCTAGAATTGTAGAATACCAGCTGTAAATGAGTACGTGGTTGGGAAGTGTTGGAATTGTAGAATGCCAGTTGTAAATGAGTACGTGGTTGGGAAGTTCTAGAATTGTAGAATGCTAGGTGTAAATGAGTATGTGGCTGAGAAGTGCTAGAATTGTAGATTGCCAGCTGTAAATGAGCACGTGGTTGGGAAGTGTTAGAATTGTAGAATGCCAGATGTAAATGAGTATGTGGCTGAGTGGTGCTAGAATTGTAGAATTCCAGCTTTAAATGAGTACGTGGTTGGGTAGTTCTAGAATTGTAGAATGCCAGTTGTAAATGAGTACGTGGTTGGGAAGTGTTGGAATTGTAGAATGCCAGTTGTAAATGAGTACGTGGCTGAGTGGTGCTAGAATTGTAGAAGGCCAGCTGTGAGTTAGTATGTGGTTGGGTAGGGCTAGAATTGTAGAATGCCAGTTGTAAATGAGTACGTGGCTGAGTAGTGCTAGAATTGTAGAATTCCAGCTTTAAATGAGTACGTGGTTTGGTAGTGCTAGAATTGTAGAATGTCAGCTGTAAATGAGTACGTGGTTGGGAAGTGTTAGAATTGTAGAATGCTAGGTGTAAATGAGTATGTGGCTGAGTAGTGCTAGAATTGTAGAATGCCAGCTGTGAGTTAGTATGTGGTTGGGTAGTGCTAGAATTGTAGAATGCCAGCTGTAAATGAGTACGTGGTTGGGAAGTGCTAGAATTGTAGAATGCCAGCTGTAAATGAGTATGTGGTTGAGTAGTGCTAGAATTGTAGAATGCCAGCTGTAAATGAGTATGTGGTTGGGTAGTGCTAGAATTGTAGAATGCCAGCTGTAAATGAGTATGTGGTTGGGTAGTGCTAGAATTGTAGAATGCCAGCTGTAAATGAGTATGTGGTTGAGTAGTGCTAGAATTGTAGAATGCCAGCTGTAAATGAGTATGTGGTTGGGTAGTGCTAGAATTGTAGAATGCCAGCTGTAAATGAGTATGTGGTTGAGTAGTGCTAGAATTGTAGAATGCCAGCTGTAAATGAGTATGTGGTTGGGTAGTGCTAGAATTGTAGAATGCCAGCTGTAAATGAGTATGTGGTTGAGTAGTGCTAGAATTGTAGAATGCCAGCTGTAAATGAGTATGTGGTTGGGTAGTGCTAGAATTGTAGAATGCCAGCTGTAAATGAGTATGTGGTTGAGTAGTGCTAGAATTGTAGAATGCCAGCTGTAAATGAGTATGTGGTTGGGTAGTGCTAGAATTGTAGAATGCCAGCTGTAAATGAGTATGTGGTTGAGTAGTGCTAGAATTGTAGAATGCCAGCTGTAAATGAGTATGTGGTTGGGTAGTGCTAGAATTGTAGAATGCCAGCTGTAAATGAGTATGTGGTTGAGTAGTGCTAGAATTGTAGAATGCCAGCTGTAAATGAGTATGTGGTTGGGTAGTGCTAGAATTGTAGAATGCCAGCTGTAAATGAGTATGTGGTTGAGTAGTGCTAGAATTGTAGAATGCCAGCTGTAAATGAGTATGTGGTTGGGTAGTGCTAGAATTGTAGAATGCCAGCTGTAAATGAGTATGTGGTTGAGTAGTGCTAGAATTGTAGAATGCCAGCTGTAAATGAGTATGTGGTTGGGTAGTGCTAGAATTGTAGAATGCCAGCTGTAAATGAGTATGTGGTTGGGTAGTGCTAGAATTGTAGAATGCCAGCTGTAAATGAGTATGTGGTTGGGTAGTGCTAGAATTGTAGAATGCCAGCTGTAAATGAGTATGTGGTTGGGTAGTGCTAGAATTGTAGAATGCCAGCTGTAAATGAGTATGTGGTTGGGTAGTGCTAGAATTGTAGAATGCCAGCTGTAAATGAGTATGTGGTTGGGTAGTGCTAGAATTGTAGAATGCCAGCTGTAAATGAGTATGTGGTTGGGTAGTGCTAGAATTGTAGAATGCCAGCTGTAAATGAGTATGTGGTTGGGTAGTGCTAGAATTGTAGAATGCCAGCTGTAAATGAGTATGTGGTTGGGTAGTGCTAGAATTGTAGAATGCCAGCTGTAAATGAGTATGTGGTTGGGTAGTGCTAGAATTGTAGAATGCCAGCTGTAAATGAGTATGTGGTTGGGTAGTGCTAGAATTGTAGAATGCCAGCTGTAAATGAGTATGTGGTTGGGTAGTGCTAGAATTGTAGAATGCCAGCTGTAAATGAGTATGTGGTTGGGTAGTGCTAGAATTGTAGAATGCCAGCTGTAAATGAGTATGTGGTTGGGTAGTGCTAGAATTGTAGAATGCCAGCTGTAAATGAGTATGTGGTTGGGTAGTGCTAGAATTGTAGAATGCCAGCTGTAAATGAGTATGTGGTTGGGTAGTGCTAGAATTGTAGAATGCCAGCTGTAAATGAGTATGTGGTTGGGTAGTGCTAGAATTGTAGAATGCCAGCTGTAAATGAGTATGTGGTTGGGTAGTGCTAGAATTGTAGAATGCCAGCTGTAAATGAGTATGTGGTTGAGTAGTGCTAGAATTGTAGAATGCCAGCTGTAAATGAGTATGTGGTTGGGTAGTGCTAGAATTGTAGAATGCCAGCTGTAAATGAGTATGTGGTTGGGTAGTGCTAGAATTGTAGAATGCCAGCTGTAAATGAGTATGTGGTTGGGTAGTGCTAGAATTGTAGAATGCCAGCTGTAAATGAGTATGTGGTTGGGTAGTGCTAGAATTGTAGAATGCCAGCTGTAAATGAGTATGTGGTTGGGTAGTGCTAGAATTGTAGAATGCCAGCTGTAAATGAGTATGTGGTTGGGTAGTGCTAGAATTGTAGAATGCCAGCTGTAAATGAGTATGTGGTTGGGTAGTGCTAGAATTGTAGAATGCCAGCTGTAAATGAGTATGTGGTTGGGTAGTGCTAGAATTGTAGAATGCCAGCTGTAAATGAGTATGTGGTTGAGTAGTGCTAGAATTGTAGAATGCCAGCTGTAAATGAGTATGTGGTTGAGTAGTGCTAGAATTGTAGAATGCCAGCTGTAAATGAGTATGTGGTTGGGTAGTGCTAGAATTGTAGAATGCCAGCTGTGAGTGCCAAAATGACAGCTCAGGCTGTATGCTCCTCAGGGAGTTGAGAAAGATATTGGCTGGTTGCAAATGTCCTATAACCAGGGATACTAATTTGTGAACCGCTTTGAGACGACCTACAAACTAGGTTGTGATGAAGTGGTATAAAGGAACCTCAAATTATTGATTATTATTATATATATCCAGGCCGACCCCTAAACTTATTGGTATGAAGCATAATAATTTATAAAGAGTACACTGTTTACTACAAAGTTAAACATAAAAACATATTTCATAATTTGAAATGAATTATTGAAACCCAATGTATAGACTTTGAAATTAATAACTTAAAACTTGATAATAAAATTCAAAATTAATTAAACTGAATCTTTAATAATAAATCACTCTTTTTAAGAGAAAAGGGGAAAAAAATTCAGAAAACTTCCACTCCCTGTAATAACAATAGTTTTCCACAGTATCACTGTCCAGCCTCTTGGCTCTCCTTCAGTCGGCTGGGCGGACCACATTGTGCTGCTTCAAGATATAACCCTACATTTGCAGGTCCAACAATCCAAATCAGAGAATAACAAAAAAGACCAGACAATTTTACATATACTTTATTTCCGCCCAATTGGGTGGATTAATGTTTCATTAGAATTAGGCAAATCATCAATGAGTAATGACACAGGACCGGTCAACTGACCAGCATCCCAAGCAATGACACAGTACTGACCAACTGACCAGTCCAAAGTAATGACACAAGACTAACCGACTGACCATTCCCGAATAATGACACAGGACTGACCAACTGACCAGTCCCGAATAATGACACAGGACCATCAGACTGACCAGCATCCCAAGTTATGACACAGGACCAACAAACCGACCTGTCCCGAGTAATAGCACAGGACTGACCAACTGATCAGTGTCCTGCTTAATGATGTTACATGATTACAGCACTACACCTAGGCCACATCACAGGTATATAAATATATTGCAGACTACTTGCACTTCTGAAAGAAAGTCTGGTCACCCATCAAATCTTATGGCAGTAGTCTAACATCAGGTTCGGTTCTCTACCATGTCAGAAAGGTTTCACCTTATTATTCCAGTATTCGTTTTGTTTATTCATGTTTTTTTCTCTCTAGGTTTTTAACCTTGTTACATTTACCTGTAGAGTTTCCCAGCACTAATATTGTAAAGGCGTAATTCACATTCGTTTCTGCAGTACATTTGTTCCAGAATTGTATATATAGATTCAATGTTCAAGGTATCATTTTACTTAAAATATTTGACTATCACCTTCGAGATGAGACCATGACCATACAGGAAGTTGAAATATTTTATGAAATACATTAGAGGCTGCCATAAACACCTGTCTGACCAGAACGTCCCTCAGCACTAATACTTATACCGGGTTTGTAATACCGCAGTACACATCACAATACAAAGATAGCAAATCTCTGGGGTATCTCACTATATAATATTGTTAACATCTATATTTACATCAATCAGAAATAAACACTACTTGTCATCCACATCAAGTATTACCCCCTTCCTGACAAAAACTCTGTTTCCTACACCAGCTAAGCCACAATTCATTTTTTCTCCAGAATAATAAATAAATTACAAAAAAATACAAAACTTGTTTCTGTCATTATGCGTAAACAATTTCATCTGAATAGAAAATGTTCAAGTACAGGAAACACTACATTTAATTGGCTTCCACTGGTTTTTATTATGAAAATTAGCAGCTGTATTTTTTTTTTTTTTTTGGGGTGCTTACCTCAAAAGATTACTAAACAGGGCTATTATCTTTTCTGAAGCTTCAAACGCTGCTGTTCAGGGCATTTTGAAAGTGCACAACATCTACTATATGTATCATATGTGTCATGGTAACAGCAAGGTTCTGGTCTCCAAACAGATGGTGGAGGGACAATATGTTACCTACAGGAGCGTGGTGTGACACCTCTACAGACTATAGGAATGTGTGTTACCCACAGAAGGGTGGTGTGACACCACTACACACTATAGGAAGGTGTGTTACCCACAGGAGCGCGGTGTGACACAACTACAGACTATAGGAAGGGGTGTTACCTACAGGAGCGTGGTGTGACACCTCTACAGACTATAGGAAGGTGTATTACCTACAGGAGCCTGGTGTGACCCCACTAAAGACTATAGGAAGGTGTCTTACCTACAGGAGCCTGGTGTGACACCACTACAGACGAGAGGAAGGTGTGTTACCTACAGGAGTGCGGTGGGACACATCTAAAGACTATAGGAAGGTGTTTTACCTACAGGAGCGCGGAGTGACAACACTAAAGACTATAGGAAGGTGTTTTACCTACAGGAGCGCGGTGTGACACATCTACAGACTATAGGAAGTTGTGTTACCCACAGAAGGGTGGTGTGACACCACTACAGGCTATAGGAAGGTGTGTTACCCACAGGAGCGCGGTGTGACCCCTCTACAGACTATAGGAAGGGTTGTTACCTACAGGAGCGTGGTGTGACCCCACTACAGACTATAGGAAGGTGTGTTACCCACAGAAGTGTGGTGTGACACCACTGTAAGGCGGTATGACACTGCCATATTAACTGCAGGAAGGTGACTATTGGAATGTTATATAATGAAAGCTACCTGAAACCTCCTTCATACTCAGGAGACAGAGACTAAAGGGAGACAATCAACCTCTATTATACATATTGTTTGAAATGTTATTATCTACATTTTTCTTTAAAACAGTTGTCTAAGGAAAAAATACTTTCAAAACTTTTATCGTAAAATGACAAGATTCTGACTCCCAAATTATTATATCTTGATTGTCTTGTTTCTGAAAACATTATATCTGTGAAACGAAGAATTTCCAGGTCCTCATTGAATTGACTTCTATTTGACTTGAAGTTAGGATTTGACAGTTCTGACAAAGCTGTTACTTTGACTAAAGCCTTACACAAAAAGTTAAAGAACATATTCTTTATTTATAAGCAAAATATTGAACTACAGGTTGGTAACCCTACAACATCATTCCCTGAAACTTTTACTGCTAATGGCTATATAATATATATATATAAAGGTTGAACAGATATTTATAGTGGTGTGCTGCCATATATACTGTGGATGTGGGCTTACCTCCCTTGTCCAGAACTCTCACATGTCATGGATCACATGTTCAACTGTACACTACCACTCTCGAACACACTTACATGAAACAATCATTCTCTTTCAATGACATGTTATGACTTATCATTTATTCTTTAGAACGGAAATTCTCTATTCTAATTGAGATTTGTCGATATGCCTTCCAGTTTTTATTTTTACCAGTAATTCTTTCTGTCACTCTGTACAGTTTTTGTTTTACCAGTAATTCTTTCTGTCACTCTGTAAAGTTTTTGTTTTACCAGGAATTCTTTCTGTCACTCTGTACAGTTTTTGTTTTACCAGTGATTCTTTCTGTCATTCTGACACATAATCACTGATTTCAGATGATGGGTTCGCAGACCAGATTACCATCAACAAATATATAAACATGGTTGTCCAAAACCTTTGGTCATTCCAGTCACAAGATTACATACCTGGTTGTCATATGTTAACGGTTACATGATTGCATCATTCACCCTGCTGTCACTCAAACATGTCTTGTTCACCAAACAATTATTTATAAATTACAAAATGTAAACACAGCATGAGCGTATATGAAAATGCCACACAAAAAATCGAAGACACATAATACTGTACAATGGAATTTGCCTGTTGATGGAAGGATCCCCTCTCATAATACTGGGCAAGGAATCCTCCTCTTCATTCGCTTTTTAAATAACGTGTTTTGTTTTTGCAAAAGAAAAAAATCTATACAAAAATGAAGATTGCACAAGTATTGGCTGACCTTGAGAGGTCAAGCCCTTAATGTGGCTATGTCTGGCCACGAAGTCCGGGCCACGCCCACTAGATCTTTGGAAACACCTACCAGAGCCTGGGGCCACGCCCATTATAGTCTTGGGCCACATCAATTTAAGACATGGATCCTGCCCACAAAAGTCTTGAGCATACCCAAGAAAACACCAGGATTTCATCATCAATCTCCTCCCTTCCTGATTGTCAGAGTTATAGCCAGACTCCATAGAATATTGATACCAAGAATTATCTCCCTTTTCTTATCGAGAAGTAATGCTTCAATTTTAACATCTCAATTCACAAGTCAGGAACTGCTGCCACTTAGACAACACAAGTAAAACTATCCTCCTGAAGAAAGGTACGCTGTGTGTTGTCAAAATATCCTCATCATAGAGTTGACTCCAGGAAATTCTAAATATACACACTCGTGGGTCTACACTATCATCACAACCTATGACACGAGGTGATACAACTGTTGCCATGGAGATCATTGCTAAAGTTGGTGGGGTCAATGGTGGAGATGACCCCCAGGACCATAGCGTTCACGGTCCATGGCCAGCTGGCGCTGTATAGCTTCCTGGTGAGCAGCCTGAGCAGACAGCTACAAAGAGAGATAACTCATTTTATATAACAAGTACAGCATGTCAGATTTTTCTTCATAAATTTTCTTATTGAACATTTAGAGCAAATCTAAATTTTTCTTTTAGAATAATTACATTTGAATTTTCTGTTAAATTAGCATTATGTTCCCTAACCTTACATGTTATTCCCTCCATATATATGATGAATTGTCAGTTTACTTGGATGCCCTGCTCATTAACACATATTACCTGATGAGCAAACGCAGGGTCGGCATAGGCTCGCCTGTAGAGGTCGCTCTGTAGCATTTCCTGCTCACGGCCAGCCAGCAGAGCAGCATGATGAGGCATCCCCTGGGGCAGGGACTGAAGGTGGGGCCCGGCACTGGACGTGGGAGGATTAGAGTTACTCATCCCTGAGGCTAAAGGATCAGCTCCTGTAAAGCACCATTATCAGATCATTAGGCTACTGTAGGGCTTATCTCATTAACATATAATGTTAGGGAAACCAAAAACTTCATATTTCTGTATGTTTGTTAAGAAACGAAAGCTGCCGATTAAGATATTGTTTGATTTTGAATTGTAAAGAAATAAGTTTTTTGATGTAATTAGGGTGATTCATTGTCATGATCATATATTTTCAAAAATGTCACTAAAATGTCAGAAAGTATTTCTGAAGTATAAAAGAGGTTATTTCAAAACCTGCTGCCACTTATATTATTCACCAACACAAAAGGAATGTTAGGATCAATAGAGACAACTCTTTATTAGATGTTATTTATTTACTCTTGAATAATTCTCATATCAACACTGTCAGAAAAAATAAACTAGCTTGAATCAGTGACAATCTTTGTAAGCTGTAATACATTTTTTTGTTTATTCTTCCAGGAAATCATTATCATCGGTACTATACATATTTTTGTGGTTTTTCAAAGTTATAACAATGAAAATGTTAAATCATAACATAGACCATATACATTGTAAATATGTAATACCTTGATACTGTATACAGATTGTTTTTTTGCGACAGTGTATTTACACTTTGTTTTTTTAAATGTAAAAGGAATTTGGCAATTTACCACTATGGAAACATAGCATTGATCAGTATTTTCATTGTGAAAGTATCACTGCGCAAAATCAAATGTGTATTCAGTGGTCTGCATGCGATATCAAGATTGATGCATAAGAAATAGTAGTTAAATAGCACGATAAGAGTATGCTGTCTCTCAAACGTTTTTTTTTCTTTGAAATTTTTCTTCGAAATTTTCCAACACAGTAGTCATTTTTGCCAAATGTTATTTGAAGAAGTTCAGCACACACAAGAGATAGAGGAAAAGAACACTAGATGAAGATACTTCCAGGTAAAATTATTTCTGAACTTTTTTAAATGAGTGCATTCATTTTATTGAGAAAATGTACAAATAAAAAAAAGCGCACAATCATGCTTTAAATTTGAGTTTCTGTAACAAGTTCTTCTGAATATCCGATACACAAGATTACAAAGGTACACGTCAACTTCATCAACCAACATTCTTCTATAAAATTCAGTTTACGAAAAAAAAGGAAAAAATATACTTTTAAAACAACAGAAGGAAAGAAATAAAAAACATCTAAATAATCCAAATAAAAAGGAAAAAATAAAGGGAAATTGGAGAAAGCAGGAAGAAGCTAAGTGGGAACTACAGCAAACAGGTAAGCAGAGGAAAGTCAATCACTGACAATAGTTGGACATGTAGGTTTGTCGTTCTTCAGAACGCACTTACTAGAAAACTGATAGGCCAAATGTGAGGTCGGATCAAGCATACCCCTATCATGCTTTGAGCGGAGGATGCACTCGTTAGAAACTCTTTGCATGTAGATTTGCTCATTTGTAAGGCGCTGAGTGTAAAATTGGTATATCATTCTCCCGGTCAATTGATCAGAATGTAGAATATCTGTAACGACAATTAGAGGAAGTGATTAATCATGAGATGTGACGACGGCTTACCTGGGGGCAGGGGAGGGAGGAAGTGGTGAGGCAGACCATGCAGCGAGGGGTGGAATGGCGCCCCTGAAGCTGCTGCTGCCGCCGCTGCAGCGTCCTGCTGATGAAGGTGGAGATGGGTGTGCGAGTGTGCATGTGTGTGCGTGTGGCCAGACGGTGACATGCCCAGGTTGCCCATCTGCAGTCGAACCATTGGGTCGGTGGCGAGAGCCATACGCTCCGCGTGTAGCCTCTCGGCCGACAGTCGCTCCACGGTATTAGAGTATGCAGCCATGTCAGCACCGGGGTGCATTAGATGACACTGGGGGAACCCTACACGTAAACATGTAAAGAAAAGTCACTGGCGGTGGCAACGACAGCGCTACCTGAACGGGTTACTGAAAATAACGGCAACACATGTCTTCTGGATTTGTCAATGTTTCTGCCAACTTACCTTTGGTATCTTACATAGGCAAGCATCCATGTATTACACAGGAAGGGAAACAACCAATGCACAGCTTCTTTCAAAACTTACCACAAAGATTTGAAAGCAAGCATATTTTTGCATAATTTATCAAAGTTTATTAGCTTAAATTTTAATCTTAAGTATGCAACTTCATTTAAAACTTCATTCAAAATTAACAATTAAATCATAATAGTCTTCAAGATTCAACAGGATAATATTGGTTAGTAAATTTATTTTGAAACGTAAGAATTGTCTCCCTTGCACTGCTGATTGTGCCCAGAACGTACAGAAGTTAGCATCACAGATAAAACATTGAAATGTTAAATATATACATGTACAACAACTTATCTCTAGTATTGATATTTCTTACTTCAAAAATATTGTTCAAATTTGCGAAAATAAACAAAATATACAGGAATTAGTTTCCATTTGTTTTAAACCAAATAGATCTCTTTGTCAGTGAACAACATCACCTGATAAACTTGGTCTATATATTTTCTTTAAATCTAAATACTTAGCTACAAATACGATGGGTAACTTTTATCTAGAATGTTATTTTGCTGGGCATGGCTAACAACAAATTGAAATTACTTCAAGATAGTCTTTTATTTAGAGCCAGCCAAAATTTGTTGAAATCTGAAATAATCTGGTTTTAGGTTTGTTGCAAAATCGTATCTTTTCTAGAACATGGACAAACTCTATCACTTATGAATAATCCTCTCCAAAGATCCATGTCAGAATTAAGAAGTAAATGTTTTGTCTGGTTTAGGTAATAAGATACCTAGAGTTATAGTAAAATGAAAGTAGAATTTATACTGTTATGTTCCTCCCAAATTACATTGCCAAAAATGCAGGTATCACTGCTGTCAATGATAAAATGATCAATGTCCGAATCTTCAAATTTACACTTATATATTTCGAAAATATCTTTACGAAATATTTTTCGAAACTGACAAATGAATCGGTCTGTGATCAAATAACATAGACTAAGAAGCATTCACTTGTTTTGTACAGTGATAAGCCAGTTATTCTCTATCACAACAAATACATCCTTACCAAATTCTTTTACCAAAATCAAGGGCAAGAGATGGGAGTCATTGTGTATGTATGTAGAATATGGATATCCGTCCTATTTACATATGAAAGACTCAAGTAATATTATGTAAAATATCTAAATCTGAATGTGTCGTGAGTGTATACCAATAACATGATGAATCATATCAAACACTACACCATTTTCTATTAAATATTTCCACATTTCTAAATGTACTTTTTTTTATTTATAAAATAATTATAATTATTCATAACACCCATATTAAATTATAGGTGTATCCAACAGTATGAATGACTGATAGAATCATGAGCCCAGCTACCTACCTAGTCTTTCCATCCTTTCCCGTTCACGCTGTAAGAGGTCACTAGCCAGACTTGTGGGCGGGTAGACCCCGGGGATGTGGTGCCCCCCTCCGGGGCCTCCTACGTTAGCTGCCGATTGTAACACATGACTGCCTGGCTGACAGAAACGCCTCTGTAGTTCTAACCAGTTCGAGTCCATCCCTGGACCATGTGGCAGTATTCTGTCCAATCCTAAATAGAAATTCAATTCAAACTTCATGATTTTGGTACAAATACAGTGTATACAGAAACAAATTTCCTTTTTCTAAAACCATTAAGGTAAACAAATCGTTTGGCTAGCAGACGAATATCGTTTTATCTCCGCTGAATTTCAGTGCCACAAACAGAATTGGGACCCACATCATACTTTTGACAGAAGTTAATTCATCCCAAGTTACCTGGTTTAAGTTAATTCATCCGAAGTTACCTGGTTTACTGAGCTCCAAATCTGCTTTCAATTTTTCTCTCATTTCCATTTCCCGTATCTCGCGTTCCCGGATTTCTCTCTCCCTGGCATCTCGTTCTCTCTTGTCCCGCTCCAGTTCCAATTCTAACCTGAAATAATGCGTAAATATAACAAAATTAACAGAGATAATAGATTCTTCATTCATAGAAAAACATAGACAATCGAAAATTCTACATTTACTTCAGTATTTTCTAAAAAAAATATTTAAAAAAACACCCCAATTAATTCAAAAACGTTTTTGATTTTCTGATGTAACATAATTCAGTGAGCCATTAGCAAAATGTATATAACTGTAATGGAAGTTTTTAAGTGCTTCCATCAGATGGTCAGAGCTTGGTACCTTTCACGGGAGCCCGGAGGGTACATTGCCGCCATGCGGTAGTCGAGAAGATGATCCATGCCATGGGGCATTCCTGCGTAGGAAAGAGATCGTGCAGGATCTGGGCCTGTCGAAACACAATAAAGACTTGTCATAGAAAACTACAGAAAACGCAAGAAACTTCGTATAAGATTCATTTTTAACTTTAATTAACAAGCCCACAAGGTTTTTACTAGATGCACTGACAATGTGATTACTTCATGCCCCTCAATTATGTTGGGGTATAAAATGACCTGTATTATGCAAAGATTCTACCTAAAAAGCTTAATTCTATATTACAGCTAATGAAAAATAAATGAGAAATTATGTCATTTTCTAATTTGGGTCAGATGATCTTCTTTTTTTGTTTGTTGAAAATATGATATATATCATTGAAATCATTCTTCTACATCAGCATTTAAAATAGAAAGCTTTGCAAGAATCACATGTGTGTAATACATACAGAATAAACTGTCAATTCTAGTTACAGTGTATTATATGTTTGCTTTTTGATGATTACCTTAACGGGTAGTTAAAACCCTTGCTGACTAGTTTTCAGGAATATCACAATAGGCCCCGAGATCATGAAACGATCAACGTTTAAAACTGTCTTCAGTTTGGACTCAACCAATCACAAATAAGGTCATAAAAGTGACATCTTACACGATTCCCTAAGCAAAATCTTCAGCCTAAGAATGTTTCATGATCCCGCGGCCAGTTCTCTAGCATTCAATTGAAAAAGTTACAAATGATTCATTCCCTATAATGTGCCTCAACATAATGGTATACAATTACAGACTTACCGGTAGCCATTACATGGGGTTTTGCATATTCGCTGAGCTGGCGTAGGGCTGGGGTGTCGGGGTAAGATGAGCGAGGTGTATGGCGTTCGTATGGATTGTTGGGCGTTATACTGCTGGTAATCATTGCATCCGCTGTAGCGTTTGGAGGAGGCGTTTCTGGCTTTTTCTTTAAATACATAGAAATATGACGTAACTCTTCAAAAATACCTTACAGATACCATACATTAAAACAATATTGTAAACAATGCTAGCTGTTGAGAGTTTCAACAGAGTTAAATATTTTCATATGGGAAGTTTAAACAAAGGAAAAGAAAATCATCTAGTTTTCAAACAAAATATAAAACAAACATATCAATTAAAGGTTAAAAAATAATTAATAATAATACATTTTGATATTTCCATTATAATTGTTATTGTGCAATTAAAATGCAGGTGGATCTTCATAGAATTAGTGTGAAAATAAAAGTATGAAATATGCAATTGTAGTTGATGGACTTTGTATTGCGACATATTGGTAATTTTTATTATCATATATAAATAAACCCTCAAAAGGTCTAAACCTCTACATGTAAATCAGGAGTGATCTTCTCTAAAAGCAAATTATCAGAACTAGGTTTATATACTTCATTCTTTGCAGGAAAATCAAAATAAAGCCAAGAGCTAGTTAATGCCAAGACCTGGGTATTTAGGTACCAAAGATCAGGGTCACCACTAACATACAGCACTAACCTTTTCCTCTGTCTTAACAGGGGTGTGTGTCGGTGCTGCCCTCTTGTGGGCCAACTTGGAATCTGGATGGGGTCTGAACACGATATCACAGCGAGAACAACAGTTGTTTTCTCCTCTGTTCAGCACTTTCATAAGTCTATGGATTGAAAATAAAATACAGTCCATGAATATAAAACAGGACTACTTTCTATAAACACTGTGAAAACTGTCAAATCAAAAATTATACGGAAAAAAGCTATAAAGATAATATACTTCTACATTATAAACAAGTACAGCAGATAGTTTTTTTAACAAGAAAAAAACATTTATAAGTTTACAGGAAAAATAGAAATCAGGTTTTATCTCTAAAATGTCCTCTTTCTATATAAATCACCTGATTGGTACACTGGGATAAACAACATTAAGATGTACTTACATTGCATTCTGAGTTTTGTAGATTTCTAGACTACAGCGGGTGGGATCTGGCCCTGGCGTAGTTGTCCCTTCTTCGTGGTCTGATTCTTCCTCCTCCTCCATCACAACACTGGTCTCAATTGCAGGTAAAGCAGGCTCTGACTTGACCCCCACATTAGGGGTCAATTTCTCTGTTGTACTTGTATCCACCATGGACAAGGGAGAGATCAGTTCTTTTGGGGTGGTGGGTGGTTCATGGATGTGTGGATGAGGCAGAGGAGCAGCCCCATGTGGGACAGGCCTGATTGGGGAAGGCCCATGTAATGGTTGTCCATGTTGGGATGATCCGTGTTGGGGAGGTCCATGAGGGGGAAGCCCATGAGGAGGAGGCCCTAGTTGGGGAGGTCCATGGGGATGGGCTCCATGGGGAGAAAGCCCGTGAAGGGAGGCCCTATGAGAATGTCCATGTGAGGGAACCACATGTGGAAGAGGTCCGTGTGGGGAGGGACCATGTGTGTGTGATGCATGAAGGGGAGGGGTTTTATTGTCCGACCTACCAACACTACTCACAGAGTCTAACACTCTGCTGTTTGACACCACTGTACTACTAGCACTGGAATCCAGTCCCTGTTTGGAGAAATCAAATGGCTGAAATGACTCTGTCCGACTTGAGAAACTAGATACTGGTTCTGACTTGACTATAACACTGTTCATGCTAGATTTGTCCTCTATACTAGGTCGAGAGGCTGGTGTGTCCATCAACAGCTTGGTGGCCCCGAAGCTGTGTTTGGGAGATGACGGTGGAGACAGAGGCTCCTTTTTGATGGGTACAGTATTAGTAGTGTGGAAGTCATCTAGTCTGGCAGTTGTTGATGAGGTACTGGAGGTGCTAACCTGAGGTAATGACAGTGGAGCCCTTGTGTGCAGCGATGACAGCGATAACAGCGATGGTGATGTGAATGGCGACGTATCCCTGTGGAAAGCGAGGTCCTGAGGAGTGCTGCATTGGAGTGACAGCGGCATGGATGGCGTTGTGGTGGGCAACAGCTTCTCTGATGGCAATTTCTGTGATGATGGCAGAGAAATGGAAGATGATAAGGGTACGAGTGGGGGACAGGACGACACAGGGGAGAGAGGGTGCGAGTGATGGGATAGGTGGTTAGGTGGGGGAGGAAGAAGTTGTGACACGGGAGGCGGAGACGTATGAGGATGGTGGATATGTGCTGGCTCCGGCCGCACGAGTGGCACCTTGTCGTGAAGGTTGGCCACGGTTGCGGTGGAGATAGGAGTGACAATGGTTGCCACCGGAGACTGAACAGAGGTGCTGGTTGTAGTAGTAGAACTTTGTGAAGACACCGGAGCTTTACTGGATTTGTAGTCAGTGTCTACAGAGCGCGGAGTGCTGGGAGGTGAGGAGGAGCTAAGGTCATCCTGGAACAGACAGACAGACAGGGTCAGGCACGTAAACCCTGTACGCCTACCATGTAATAACCCACACCTCGCACAACCCCACTGGTCTTACACCATCAATAACCCAGCAACTTAAAACAAAAACCTTACATAGAATAACTCAACAATATATGCCCATCCAATAGAATAACTCACACCTGTAACAACCCCACTGATCTTATACCAATATAACCCAGCAATATAACCTAGTAACCAAGCCTTTTATACAATTACCCTACAAGAGTACAAGGACAGACCATCTTCATGATCTTTTGCCGAAGTGAATTACATAAAATCCTTTTGGCACATTTCTGTATACCAATACATTTTTGAAAATGTTGAAATATAGAAAGAAGAAATATTTGTAATAAATTAATCAGTAAAGCTGTAATATTTCATCAACCCCCTCCGACCCGATACCCTGTCAGTACAACCCCCACCCACCCAGATTCCCTGTCAGTACAACCCCAACTTACCCAGATACCCTTTCATTACAACCCCTACCCACCCAGATACCCTGTCAGTACAACCCCTACCCACCCAGATACCCAGATACCCAATCTCCACCCCAACACTATCCTTCTACTAGTCCTCCCATAAACCTATCATCAATCAGCTTTCTACACCACCCCAACCCTAAAGTACACCCCCCCCCCCCCCCCCATTTTCAATCAGTTCTTCCAAATCCCCCCTACATTCCCAATCAGTTGTACACATGGCTGTAGTAAGGTGCAGAGAAGAGACCTGAAGTGACTTGTTAGGTGCAGGTTACACAGTAGACAGTACATATTAATCATAGATACTGGAAATAGTAGACAGTACATTGTAGATACACGGTAGAGTTATACATCAGATCATGTCACATCATTAATACTTTACATAGGTGAATACAAAGAATATTACATTATATACAACAGATATAGTAGACAATAATTATATGCCAAATATATCTAGACATTACATAATTATCATCTCCTAGAGATCTTACAATGACATCTCAGATATTTTACACAAAATATAGTGCACACACACAAATACAAGACATCATGAGCATATAAGTGTTTCATAAATCAAACAGTTGTTAATTTTTTTTCCCCCACAGGCTGATTGCAGTTATCATAATTTCATATAATTTGGAAAAGATTATAATTTGTTTGGCCATTAATTTTAAGCATGAAGAACCAATAATGCGACATTTCATTCTATCACTGTTACATGACCTTTGACACAGTGACCTGGGACTTTGGCCTTTGACCTTTACCTGATTATTTTCTATATCGCCCTCGTTGCCGTTCTCCTCATCATTCCCAGATAGACTGCTGCTGTCAGAGACTGACTCGGAATCCGATCGGTCCTGTAAGCAAAGCAAAGAACTCACAACTTACTCACTGATGAATATTCATCCAAAATACCATACCACTTCTTTTTCTGGACATACATTTCATATTGAAAGCCCAATTGAGACTTTGAATTTAAGAAAACTAAGTCAAATACATGTTACATGAACTATGACCTGATCATCTGAACCATGACCTGATCATCTGAACCATGACCTGATCATCTGAACTATGACCTGATCATCAGATACAGCACCTCTAGCACAGAAACGTGATATTTACCTCGGCTTTCTTTTTCTTGTTGTGCTTGTCCTCTGAATCTGAGTTCGCTTGTCGCTTCTTGCCCTTATTCTGGGCTTCAGTTGTTTTCTGTGATGACAAACAAACAGAATTTGTAGCACTTCCTGTATACCATCAATTCTCAAACATACAGTATTGTTGCACTCTTGTCTACCATCCACCCTCAAACAGAAATATGTGAATAATGACAATGACCTTTCAAAAGGGATGTACAATATATATGTCCTCATACTTATTACGTGACATAAACTGACATTACCTGTCTTAATAGTCTCACACTCCATTACACATGACCTAGATATACTGACCTTGCCCTTCCTCTGTGTGTCTGTGCTACCTTGTTTCTAATGTTACCTAACTCCATTACACATGACCTAGATATACTGACCTTGCCCTTCCTCTGTGTGTCCGTGCTACCTTTTTTCTAATGTTACCTCAATCTATTACACATGACCTAGATTTACTGAACTTCCCCTTCCTCTGTGTGACCTTATTTTCAATGTTACCTAACTCTATTACACATGACCTAGATATACTGCCCTTGCCCTTCCTCTGTGTGTCCGTGCTACCTTTTTTCTAATGTTACCTGAATCTATTACACATGGCCTAGATTTACTGTCCTTGCCCTTCCTCTGTCTGACCTTATTTTCAATGTTACCTAACTCTATTACACATGACCTTGATATACTGACCTTGCCCTTCCTCTGTGTGTCTGTGCTACCTTGTTTCTAATGTTACCTAACTCCACTACACATGACCTAGATATACTGACCTTGCCCTTCCTCTGTGTGTCGGTGCTACTATTGCTACAGGTACTACCGGTGCTCGGGGACTTGCGGCCACGAGCCAGAGGAGCTAGCGGGTTCAGTGGATTGTCAATGATATCTGGACTACTAGTACTATTATTTCTCTCCTTCCTTTTGCCTTTTGTCTGCAATACCAACAGTTCAAAATAGAATTAAAAACAATTTTACAATTCATTTTTTTCTTCTATAAGATTCATCAGTTTGGAAACATGTAATATTAAAATGTTATTATCTACACAAGCAATGTACCCATTAAATGTGTCGCAACATTTCAAGACCAACTGGTCCCTTTGTTAAGCTATTACTTAGATAATTCAGTTTTTTGTTTTAGTTTTGATTTTTTTTTACAACACAACAACACAGAATAAATTATATAGTTTTGATTATTTCTCTCTTTTTAAAAAAAATAATTCATTGCAACAAAAGCTGAAAGTTCATTGTTTAATGGCTGTTACTTACCGATTCCCGAGTCTGTCGTGTTCGCATATTGTGCCGACCGTTGACCGAGTCCTCTTCCTTTACTGGCTGGAAGAGGAAGGGTGAGGGGTCGCGTGATGAGGGATCGCGTATCGAGGGGTCGCGTGGACTCTCTAAGGGCCGCTCTTCCCCATAGCGTTTGAAGTGGAGGCGGCATTCTGTACATCGGAGACTCTTGTCCTTACCGGCATGGTGCCAGTCCTTGGACACTGCAATAAAAGTCACATTATTTACCTATCACAACCATACACAAGCAATGATTTAGATTTGTACTGACCCAAACGAAGGGCCCTGTATGATTTAGATTTGTACTGACCCAAACGAAGGGCCCTGTATGATTTAGATTTGTACTGACCCAAAGGGCCCTGCATGATTTAGACATCTACTGACTAAACTATAAGGAGTCCTCTACAGTTTAGATCTGTACTGACCAAACTTTGATTTTGATATGCAAAATATCAAAGTGACACTGTATAATTAGGATTTGTACCGTTGAAAGAGGTCCAGTAAGATTTAGATTTTGATAGATCTTAGCAGCCCTGAAGGATTTAGATATTTTACAAACTCAAGGGGCTCTGTTTGATATTAATATATACTTATCTAAATGGGCTCTGTTTAATTTAAATTTGTATTGATCTAAATGGCCCTGTATGATTTAGATTTGTACTGATCTAGGGGGCCCTGTAAGATTTAGATTTGTATTGATCTAGGGGGCCCTGTATGATTTAAATTTGTGCTGATCTAGGGAGCACGGTTTAATTTAGATTTTTTACTGATCTAGGGGGCCCTGTATGATTTAGATCTGTACTGACCCAGGGGGCCATTCTATAATTGAGGTCTGGTTTACATTTCTATCCAGTTTACTGTGAACACCTCAACACCTTTCCCTGCTACACCCAATATCTCCACCAATTCATCACGAAACTTTTCTACCGAAGTTGTGTAATTTCGCATGTTGTGTATGACGAAGTTGCCAGCCTTCCACAGCTTGGTGAGCCGTTAGTGCAGTAATAGTCCTGTAACCTGTCTCTCGCCCTACACACGCTCGCTCCCTACAGATCAATAGACATGTACTGCACACTCCACAATTGATGTGTCTGCTGCACATGTAGCAGAAACTCTTCTTAAACCTTTGATAACTACATCAGGTAAAAGGTTTTCACCTTACTGGGACAAATTATAGCTCCATATACCTGGTCTAATGGTAGGACATAACCACCTATCCACACACATGCAGGCACTTTAGATTGACTGTCCGAGTGCCCAGAACTCTGCCTGCCACCTCAATTATCACCGAGATTTAGTTGTCATTTAATGTAATGACATTCTAATTTTCTATGCGAAAGAAATGATTAACTAATGTGAACAGTTTTCCCATAATTTTTGATGAGGGTATCTAATTTATCATCGCATAATGTTACAAAAGAGATTCCATGGTGTCATCAATATACAAGAGAGAGATGTGATCTTATACAGTTAAAGTATGGGGTTGAGGGACATAACAAGTTTCTGGTGTCCCGAGACCAGCTAGGTCTATTTCCCAAGGCGAAGCCAGATTGTATTGTAATTGTATAGGGAGTTATTCTTGTAAACTATTACATCATCAATGGTACATGGAGTTATTCCTGTAAACTATTACATCATCAATGGTACAGGGAGTTATTCCTGTAAACTATTACATTATCAGTGATACAGGGAGTTATTCCTGTAAACTATTACATTATCAGTGGTACACGGAGTTATTCCTGTAAACTATTACATTATCAGTGATACAGGGAGTTATTCCTGTAAACTATTACACTATCAGTGATACAGGGAGTTATTCCTGTAAACTATTACATCATCAATAGTACAGGGAGTTATTCCTGTAAACTATTACATTATCAGTGGTACAGGGAGTTATTCTTGTAAACTATTACATCATCAATGGTACATGGAGTTATTCCTGTAAACTATTACATCATCAATGGTACAGGGAGTTATTCCTGTAAACTATTACATCATCAATGGTACAGGGAGTTATTCCTGTAAACTATTACATTATCAGTGGTACAGGGAGTTATTCCTGTAAACTATTACATTATCAGTGGTACAGGGAGTTATTCCTGTAAACTATTACATTATCAGTGATACAGGGAGTTATTCCTGTAAACTATTACATTATCAGTGATACAGGGAGTTATTCCTGTAAACTATTACATCATCAATAATACAGGGAGTTATTCTTGTAAACTATTTCATAATCAGCGGTACAGGGAGTTATTCTTGTGAACTATTATATCATCAATGGTACAGGGAGATATTCCTGTAAACTATTACATTATCAGTGATACAGGGAGTTATTCCTGGAAACTATTACATTATCAGTGAAACAGGGAGTTATTCCTGTAAACTATCACCTCATCAATGGTACAGGGAGTTACTCTTGTAAACTATTACATCATCAATGGAACAAGGAGTTATTCTTGTAAACTATTAAATCATCAATAGTACAGGGAGTTATTCTTGCAAACTATTTCATAATCAGCGGTACAGGGATTTATTCTTGTGAACTTTTACATCATCAATGGTACGTGGAGTTATTCCTGTAAATTATTACATCATCAATGGTACAGGGAGTTATTCTTGTAAACTATTACATCATCAATGGAACAGGGAGTTATTCTTGTAAACTATTACATCATCAATAGTACAGGGAGTTATTCTTGTAAACTATTACATTATCAATGGTACAGGGAGTTATTCCTGTAACCTATTACATCATCAATGGTACAGGGAGTTACTCTTGTAAACTATTACATCATCAATAGTACAGGGAGTTCTTCTTGTAAACTATTTCATAATCAGCGGTACAGGGAGTTATTCTTGTGAACTTTTACATCATCAATGGTACATGGAGTTATTCCTGTAAATTATTACATCATCAATGGTACAGGGAGTTATTCCGGGAAACTATTACATCATCAATGGTACAGGGAGTTATTCTTGTAAACTATTACATTATCAATGGTACAGGGAGTTATTACTGTAAACTATTACATTATCAATGGTACAGGGAGTTATTCCTGTAAACTATTACATTATCAGTGATACAGGGAGTTATTCTTGTTAACTATTAGGCTACCAGTGGTACAGGGAGGTATCTTTTACTAACAGCCAATTGCTTATTACAATATATATTGTCATTAACTTAATTAATATCTGTTGTGATTGAGATTCCTAGCTTGTTCCAGTTTGGCACATGCCTGCCCACTAGACAGGGAAGCCAGCAGACTTTAATTGACATTAGCATTAGTTTGGGTTGTTCCATTCTGCCTATTACTTTTGTTTCAGACTGGCAGGGAAGATGTATATCTCTTAATTTCAGCAAGTCCCCGCCTCCAGGCAGCCATTTTGACTTCCCACCAATGAGGCGTGTGCACTGTTGGAGAGGCAGGACACTGGGGAACTCATATATAAGTTGTCATTGAGACCTACTACTTCATATGCCTAGCACAAGCTTCCTAGCATGTAGCCAGCTTTTACAAGTCCTATATATATATATATATATATATATACATATATCCCCAGTGTTGCAAAATACCATTCTTCAAATTAATTTTCACACAGGCAGCCTCATCACAGTGCCAGTGAGCTTACACATAGGCTAGAGAGCGGAGCGTTCACAGCGAGGGGTGTAGAACACAAAAAACATCTTATCAGGTACCGGCCCACACACCACTATCATCAAATCCACATTAAACTACAAAGCTAAGTCCTTTACGATAGCTTTATATTTCTTCCACCTCTTTTTCACCAGCAAATTTCTCGCTTTCACAGCTCAAAGCAGTCGTATATCTGTGTTATAGTGATGCTATCATCAAATTAATAGGGAACCAACCAAATTTGTTAACCATCCTTTTTCACGTGATCTGTCCAATACAGGGCTGTGCTAGGAGCGTTGTCAGCGGGATTGATTTGTACACATGACTCCGGCTGTCAGCGCCTTCCCCGTTATAATCAGCTTTTATGCATGGGCGACTCCAAAGCAGTATCAGCCACGGTTGAGCGAGAACACGACCAGAACTAGGTAAGACTAGCTATCTGCCTGGCCTCACCATTAGCACACCATTGTGGTAGGAGCAGGTTTTGTTCTCTGCTTACTCCCCAGTCACCCTTTACCTACTGTTTCTACACAGAAATAACACATACTGACAGCTGGGCTGTAAACCCATAGGGTACAACAGTATTGCTTATCAGGTATCTACAGTGTATGAAGCTCTAATGAACACTTTGGTGCAATTATAAAGATATTTGTTTATCAGAGCCCTCCCACTCTCAGGTACCTCCCTCCAATGGTATCACAAGTCGTCCCCTCATCTAGTACATCAAAGTCTTCCCTCCCTGCTTCTAGTTCTACAGGGCCCTCACCTTCCCTAGGATCTCGGGGTTCTCCCGTTCGCTTGTAGCACAGGGTTCTCCCATTCCCTTGTAGCACAGGGTTCTCCCATTCCCCTGTACCACAGGGTTCTCCCATCCCCATGTACCACAGGGTTCTCCCATACCCTTGTTCCACAGGGTTCTCCCGTTCACTTGTACCACAGTGTTCTCCCAATCCCATGTACCACAGGGTTCACCCAATCCCTTGTACCACAGGGTTCTCCCATCCCCTTGTACCACAGGGTTCTCCCATTCCTTTGTACAACAGGGTTCTCCCAATCCCTTGTACCACAGGGTTCTCCCATCTCCTTGTACCACAGGGTTCTCTCATTCCCTTGTACCACAGGGTTCTCCAGATCCCCTTACACTACAGGATTCTCTCTCCCATCCCCTTGCATCACAGGGTTCTCCCATCTCCATGTACCACAGGGTTCTCCTGTTCCCTTGTACCACAGGGTTCTCCCAATCCCTTGTACCACAGGTTTCTCCCATCCCGTTGTACCACAGGGTTCTCCCATCCCCTTGCATCACAGGGTTCTCCCATCCCCTTGTACCACAGGGTTCTCCCGTTCCCTTGTACCACAGGGTTCTCCCAATCCCTTGTACCACAGGTTCTCCCATCCTTTAGTACCACAGGGTTTCCCATCCCTTTGTACCACAGGGTCTCCCATCATTCTCCCAATCCTTTAGTACCACAGGGTTTCTCATCATTTTCCCAATCCTTTAGTACCACAGGGTCTCCCATCCCCTTGTACCACAGGGTTCTCCCATCCCCTTGTACTACAGGGTATCCCATCCCCTTGTTCCACAGGGTTCTCCCGTCCCCTTGTACCACAGGTTCTCCCACCCTTTAGTACCACAGGGTTTCTCATCATTTTCCCAATCCTTCAGTACCACAGGGTCTCCCACCCCCTTGTACCACAGGGACTCCCATCCCCTTGTACCCCAGGGTTCTCCCAATCCCTTGTACCACAGGGTATGCCATCCCCTTGTACCACAAGGTCTCCCATCCCCCTGTACCACAGGGCTCTCCGGGTCCCTTGTACCACAGGGTACCCCATCCCCTTGTACCACAAGGTCTCCCATCCCCCTGTACCACAGGGCTCTCCAGTTCCCTTGAACCAAAGGGTCTCCCATCCCCTTATACCACAGGGAATCCCATCCCCTTGTACCACTGGGTATCCCATCCCCTTGTTCCACAGGGTCTCCCATCCCCCTGTAACACAGGGTTCTCCCAATCCCTTGTACCACAGGTTTCTCCCATCCCGTTGTACCACAGGGTTCTCCCATACCCTTGTACCACAGGGTTTCCCATCCCCTTGTACCCCAGGGTTCTCCTGTTCCCTCGTACCCCAGGGTTCTCCCGTTCCCTCGTACCACAGGGTCTCCCATCCCCTTGTACCACAGGGCTCTTTGTTCGTTTAGAACCAAATGTCCTCCTCTTCTCTAACATGATCTGATCAGCCAGATTTACAGTACCATGTTGTAATCTGTCTGTGACTACATAAGTTGATATGCATACGTCTTTCCATTTGTAACATAAACATAAGTCAAGCAATTAATGGCTAATGGCCCATAAACTGAGTTTATTCCAGTTCCCCTAGCATTAAAGGTTTCCCCAATACTCTTAGCATAGAGGCAACTGATCCCAGATGGCAATAGTGTTGAAAGGCACATTTCAGTTTTCTAGTGATGCATGTAGAATAATAAGACCAAGCGTTACCTATGTGTGCCAGAGGTTCATTCTTGACAAGACTGGAACCCCTCAGTCAATGTACCAATACTGGTATCCATGTCAGGCTAGTGCATCATTGTATCAATATGAGTTCCCCAGTCTCGTTTAATAATGTAATTCCTTTTAATTTTATTGTACATAACTTGGCAATTCCAAGCTGAATGACTGTATTTCTCTCATTCCTGTACGTTTTCTCTCATTCCTGTGCGTTTATGACAGAACTGTTCAGGGTTAGAAAAGGGTGCAAGAAATTTCTATTTACACCCCATTTCATGTGCATTATATCACAATTGGGCAAGTATGACACGATGTCCCGAAATTGTGAAAATTTGAATTCTTCGATGTGGAAATTGTGATGCTTTTTTGTGGTTTCAAAGCTAATTCAAGTGATTGGAATGAGAAAAATATAGCTTTTTATACCCAGGGGTGAAGGATAGGGTACATCAACCTTGGGTATTTCTAACTGGTGCAAAACCCTCAGCAAGCTTTGGCTTTCACCAATTTCAAAAGGCCTTTGATGGAATTTCTCTACATCCCTTAAGGAGCGAAAGCGTCCTACAATCTTACCTGTAGTACAACAGTGACGACAAGTGTAGCCGCTCAGCTCCCGACTAGCACCACTGTCATCCGAGTCCTCTGAGCACTCACTGGCTGAACAGCTCTGGTCACCTGTGACACGAAGGGTAAAGGTCAGCTCTCCAAAGGTCATCAAATATCAAAATTTCAAACATAGGGTAAAATAGCAAATGACATCAGATCAACGATCAATGGGTAAAATAGACCTGAGGGAATGACAGCCATGGATCAATCTGCAGGTTTAATCATAGAATTAATATTACTATGTTATTTAATGTTCAGATATCTTTGAGGCATGAACATATGTAGAGCCCCTCCCACCTCTACCCTAGACAGCAGAGAGGTTCCAGCACATGTTTGTTGTGAAGGTAACAGACTCGTACTAGACATGTTGGGATATGCTGTGTAAAGCCCAGTCACATTAAATCAGTTGCTCCAACACCTGTCAGTGCTGACAGATAAGCTGTGGTAGTGTAGAATATTTCTGTCTGCCTGGTGTCATCCTGTCCTGATAGATGGATAGCCCCTCACTGTGTGACTGTAAACATCTCATCATTATCCAACATATAAACGTGTTCATGCTTAACTTACATGCTCAAAATTAATCATATTTATAGCTGTAAGGAATTTTATCAATAATTTCTATATAGAATAAACAACTTAGCTTCCCCAGTGAGTGTGTATGTTTGTTGAGGGTTCTTGTATCCGAAAAATAAAAAAATAAACTTTCTTAAGGCAACATGGTTAACCTCATAATTTGCATAAACTTTGGTGTTAAGACAGAAAATCCTGCACTGATCATAGCTTTCTTTATCAGAATTATAGGCAGTTTTTTTCTTCAAACTTGGGTAAAAAAAAAAAAAAAAATGATCATGCAAAGCAAGCTTCCCTGATATCAGAACATGGGGGTGAAAGTTTCAGGAATGGATAGGTTTGTGTTGTACTCCTGTTCTACTGTAAACCTGGATTATTTTTTTGCTGCAGTAAAACTTCTGCCTTTAGCATGACAGCAAACATTTGTAAACAACATAATATACATTGTAACTAAATGTGAGGGCAAATTTCATATTGGGTGAAAACGGATTTCATCGTTGAAGGCCCACATTATCCTAGAATACAGTCGTCAGTCAGGCCTGTCAGCAAGGAGGAGGGGATAACCACTAGTGGTCAGTCAGGTTTGGAGTGGAAAGGAAACTTGGCCATTTATAGTGGACATTTGTCTTTGGTATGCATGGTCATCAGATGGACTAACATAAATCTGTGTGATAGGTCAAAAATCCAGCGAGCCAGGTCACACAGGTAGACTAGGGTGAAATGATATGTATCAAGATATCTGAGTCATGATTCAATACTGTACTTGTGATATCTTTTCTATCTTATTTTGAAAACACATGGTGCAAATGACAGTACGATAAACAATATTTTGAAATAAAAAAAAAATAACAAGCTTTCAAAGAAGTCTGTAATCTGTGCTGAAGAATCACAATGCAATAATGATATAGATCCCTTCATTATGGATACTTACAGAAGTCACTTGAGGTCGGGCGTTGGGAGCGGGTGTTGCGTTTAAAGGCAGGACGCTTGTGTCTTCGATAGGGTCGGTTTGACGTGGCACCAGGAGTTTTCTTCCAGAAATAGTAGTACTCCACCAGCTCTCCCTAAAAATACACAAGACATACATACATGAGGCTAAACTGTATACTTAAGTGTAAAACTAATCTGTGTTAAGCTGTATTTCCTAAGGACACTGCATTAGACTATTGAAGAAGAAATTTCTGAAAGGAAATTACTGTAATAAGACATAAACTATGGAGGTCTAGTTTAAAAGGATTCAGAACTTGCAGAAATAATAAGGGTCCCAAACCAAAAGTCCTTATAGTTTTCTTTCAAAATAATATAATCCTCATGATAAAATTTTTACTTCCTGACTGAACAAATCAGAATTATTTACAGGTTACCTAACTGTTACATGTACTTTTTCTCCAAGAATTCTACACTATGAAAAATTGTAAAAATATTTGTATGAATGTTAACTTGCACAAAATCAATCAATAACAGAAATATTGTGGGAATTTGTTTCAAACTCAGAGAAAGTAGACAATACTAAGCAGATTTTCTGTAAGAGAGATACATTTTTTAAACAGGAATCTCATACAATGTGTAAGGTAGCATACATCCTTAACTTTAACAAAAATTATACATATAACTAGTAAGGTAGCATATGCCCTTAACTCTAGCACAAATTATAGGTATAATGTGTTTGTTAGCATACATTCTAAACTTTTAACACAAATCACAGGTATAACGTATAATGCATTGCATACCCTTAGGTTTTTATTTTCCATGTTATTTGAGACTCTGTACGATGTTATCAAAACTTGTTCCTGAATGGATGAAACATTTTTGTGGAAATTTAACTGAACAATAAATAACTGAATCGGATATTAAGAAATTACCAACTAGTGTAAAAAGCAGAAAATTAATTATTTTAGATTAAATCAGACATTCAAAAATCAGGCACTATATACCTTATCACAGAAAATACCCCAAAAAGAAACTTTCACAAATTACTTTAACTTTCATTAAAGTGCCACCCTACTGTGCCCCTCTGATCTTTAAACATGGGAATTTTATGATATATTCAAATTATTCCGCACTTGCCTAGAATGTCTTGACATTGTATCATGTTACACACCGAGTCCTGTCTGTTACAAACATCTGTGTGATGTAGGTAGCTGTGTCGACAGAGAGCCACCACCACCAACACACAGGGATGTCGCCCAGACTGTTGTCATGTAAACACCTGAGAGTGTCTGGGCACATCAGGGGTTAGGACACACCGTGTCTGTCAAGTTTAGGTCAACACAGGAGGTGCACACAAAGTCCCTAACAAAACCCCCACATATTTTCACTTGAAAGATACCAAAATTCAGTTTAAGTATTGTCACCTTTACAAAGTGAACTATTTTCAGGTAATGGTAAATGACATGGTACAGGTAAATTATTTAGATGTTACAGGTAAGCTGTACAGGTAAATTATTTAGATGTTACAGGTAAGATGTACAGGTAAATTATTTAGATGTTACGGGTAAGCTGTACAGGTAAATTATTTAGATGTTACAGGTAAGCTGTACAGGTAAATTATTTAGATGTTACAGGTAAGCTGTACAGGTAAATTATTTAGATGTTACAGGTAAGCTGTACAGGTAATTCAGGTACCGGTAAATGGTTTGGGGGCTCAATTTTAAGGAAGAAGAATTCTCTGTTAAATTAACAGACTTTACACCAAATGAAAGAAAAAGCTGAACACAAGTTAAACTTGCAAACAACTTTATGAAAACGAAACTTACGAATTTTATGCAGGGTCAATTACGGTAACAAAAATCTACGTGTGATATTACACTCATTAGACATTAAGGATAGTGGAAATGAACCCAATAATTAGAGACTGGCATCTGGTCAAGTGAAAGAGTGACCAATACAAAAGGTGATCAAAGGACAGACTGACCAATACAAAGAGGGGCTAAAGTATCTCTATTAGATCTTCTAATTACAGATTTGGGAACTGATAACTGACCAGTACTTTTATTAGAGCATAAATCTGGCTGGAATTGAGTGGACATCACTTTGTGTAGTGAATGTCCATTAAAATCTGGTAATAAAACACACCTGTCCTGACCTGTGATGCTTCTCTACACCTCTGTTGAGGACCTATTAGGGGGATATTGGATCTGCATGGTATATCTTCATCTCAAGATCTGTTGGGGCCCTCTAAAGGGCATGTTGGACTAATAATATGTCTCATACATAACCTTGATCTCTCACCGGTCTCTACTGATACCTGTGTAAGGTGTTACAGGTAGTGACATATAGAGGGGTGATCTCTCACCTGTCTCTACTGATACCTGTGTAAGGAGTTACAAGTAGTCACTTATATAGGGGTGAACTCTCACCTGTCTCTACTGATACCTGTGTAAGGGGTTACAGGTAGTGACTTATAGAGGGGTGATCGCTCACCTGTCTCTACTGATACCTGTGTAAGGTGTTGCAGGTAGTGACTTATAGAGGGGTGATCTCTCTCCTGTCTCTACTGATACCTGTGTAAGGTGTTGCAGGTAGTGACTTATAGAGGGGTGATCTCTCTCCTGTCTCTACTGATACCTGTGTAAGGTGTTGCAGGTAGTGACTTATAGAGGGGTGATCTCTCACCTGTTTCTACTGATACCTGTGTAAGGTGTTACAGGTAGTGCCTTATAGAGGGGTGATCTCTCACCTGTCTCTCCTGATACCTGTGTAAGGTGTTACAGGTAGTGACTTATAGAGGGGTGATCGCTCACCTGTCTCTACTGATACCTGTGTAAGGGGTTACAGGTAGTGACTTATAAAGGAGTGATCTCTCACCTGTCTCTACTGATACCTGTGTGAGGTATTACAGGTAGTGACTTATAGAGGGGTGGTCTCTCCCCTGTCTCTACTGATACCTGTGTAAGGTGTTACAAGTAGTCACTTATATAGGGGTGAACTCTCACCTGTCTCTACTGATACCTGTGTAAGGGGTTACAGGTAGTGACTTATAGAGGGGTGATCGCTCACCTGTCTCTACTGATACCTGTGTAAGGGGTTACAGGTAGTGACATATAGAGGGGTGATCTCTCACCTGTCGCTACTGATACCTGTGTAAGGTGTTACAGGTAGTGCCTTATAGAGGGGTGATCTCTCACCTGTCTCTCCTGATACCTGTGTAAGGTGTTACAGGTAGTGACTTATAGAGGGGTGGTCTCTCACCTGTCTCTACTGATACCTGTGTAAGGGGTTACAGGTAGTGACATATAGAGGGGTGATCCCCCACCTGTCTATACTGATACCTGTGTAAGGTGTTACAGGTAGCGACTTATAGAGGGGTGATCTCTCACCTGTCTCTCCTGATACCTGTGTAAGGTGTTACAGGTAGTGACTTATTGAGGGGTGATCTCTCACCTGTCTCTACTGATGCCTGTGTAAGGTGTTACAGGTAGTGACTTATAGAGGGGTGATCGCTCACCTGTCTCTACTGATACCTGTGTAAGGTATTACAGGTAGTGACTTATAGAGGGGTGGTCTCTCACCTGTCTCTACTGATACCTGTGTAAGGGGTTACAGGTAGTGACTTATAGAGGGGTGATCGCTCACCTGTCTCTACTGATACCTGTGTAAGGGGTTACAGGTAGTGACTTATAGAGGGGTGATCTCCCACCTGTCTCTACTGATACCTGTGTTAGGTGTTACAGGAAGTGACTTATAGAGCAGTAACCTGCCCCTACTAATACCAATGTTAGGAGAACTGCCAGGTGTAAATGACATATAGAAGGCCCAATAATAACAAAGTATGATGTTCACATCTCTACATGTCCAACAATGATAGGCCATCTAAGGCCAACATAAACTTGACGGCCAGCCTGTCAGAAATGTCATAAATGTGGTTATCCAGTGTGTTGAAGGGCTATCAATATTAATATAACAGAGCTTATAATAGCCAGCAGAGCTAAAGACAATGGCCAAAAGCCGGACGATTGTACATAAAGCTGGGCCTCATTGATTTCTCTGTCAAACAGGGTGTTTGTACATGGGCAGCAGACTTAGGGAACGAATGGCCAACCACTAACCTGCCCAGGTCAGCCATACTGCATCTGCGACTTCTGAACTCTAAAGGTCAACAAACTATACTGCATCTAACCTCTGACTTATGAATGTCAGGCAACAACATTGTATCTATGACTACTGAAAACTTCCAGGTCAGACAACCATAATGCTTCTACATGACCTCTGACCCCTACACACACAATAAACCTTGCTATATGCAAAAACTCTGACCTCTATATGTACAATAAATATTGACCTCTGACCTCTTCATGTTCAGTAAAACCTACTTTAAAGATAATCTCTCACCTCAAGCCAAAATCAATAAATCAAGGAGGAAACTAACTAAACTAGACTATCTGTAATATTGAAATGGATATTATAAGTATTATAAGTATTATAAGTATCTTGCTCTATGAGTTTAGAAAGTTGGCAAGTCTGTGTTGTCGCAAGTTGAACATACAATGTACTGTCTAGACTTAACAAGCCTATAGTTATGCTACAGATAATTTACAAACTAAATAGTGATCCATTTTGATTAACATCAGCAAAAATTCCTGTTCCCAGCTTGTAATAATATATGCGTGCACTCATATCCAAAGCCAAAACAACTTGTTCAAAATCAATGTATATCCAATGCGTAAAAGGCCACTTCACTTCATAGGTTATAAAACAGTCTGTTAAGAGTTCTTAAATATGGTTTTTATAATTTGCGGTAATTCAAACCATCCATAATATCTTTAAAAAAGATCACTTATAATAAATGCATGTCTGCTATGAATTCAGAGTATTAATTATAGTCCACTTTTAAAGACCAAATCGTAAGCTAAAACAGCCAAAGCACTATCAATGGCTAAAACAGCCAAAGCACTATCAATGGACACAGGGATAAGATAAAATTGGTGTCATATATGTATATTACATGTATACCACTGTTGGTATAACAAGTTTTCTGCCCTTACATAGTAATAACTCCTCCACTATACATCATGCAGTAAATGAATTGACCTTTTGATACAAGGAGTAGATACAGGATAGGGGC